GACTGACCTCATGAAAAAAAGCACACACACTCACCCCAGTAAGAATGCTGAATCTCACTTGTGGGAGTTTTGCGAGCCTTCCAGAGCGGAGAGCTTGGCAGATGAGGGCAGTTCTGTGGGATGCCACTCTCAGCAGAGACTCAATGAACCCTGGCAGGAATAACAGCATTTTAACACCACATCTACACTGGCACAGCAGCAAGTTCTGTCCCCACTGTTTTGCAGCCTACACTTCTGACTACAGACAAGTGACATCATAACGCTGATATGGGCATGTAAATGTCGGGTTGGGTGAACGAGATGATCTAGAACCAGCTGAAAAAACGAGTGGGAACGTTCTGTCATCCAAGAACGTGCAGAACACAGCAAAAAGTGCCAAGGACATCATGATGTTTGCTTAAATGATGCAGAGCACAGGAAGGGACAAGCCAATTGTGAGAGAGAACATCAAACCTAAAACAGACACAAAATACTTAAAATACATAAATGGAAAAAATCATTGCAGTGCCCCTAATGTTTCAACGGCCAATGCCAAATTCTGAAGCGTGGCGGATGGCTGATATAATGACAGATACAGTACAACTTAAAGAAAGCAAAGGGAGATGCACATACCATTGATGAAACAAACTATTATGTAATAGAATACTTACTCAAGTCACAAAAATTGGGTGAAAGAATTTGTTTTGTTTTTGTAACTAAGGCTAAAGGCTGCTGGTAGAATTTGGAACAGAATAACTTCAAACAGGAAGAACCCTGTGTTCAAGTGGACATGGCTATTGGCCAAAACCATTTCTCTCTAAAAATGTTTAAAATATTGACCATGATTCAGCATATCACCACTCTTAAGACTATTACAGGAAAGCCTCAAAACATCAAATGTCCTCTCCATCTTCAGTTACAGAGAGTCAGGATATTGTTATTGTATCAACTCTCTAGCCATTGTCAGCGACAAAAATCTCGCGTTTCAATTTAGGAGCTTTGTTTGTCTTTTTTCTAAAATGGTGCTGTACAAAATAAACTTCGTTTGAAATTTCATTTGAAATAATAAT